TTTCTAAAACAAAACAGAAGGTAAAAAGTGTGTGCTGCTTTGCTATTGTAATTCATCTGTAAAATTCAAAAGGAAGGCAGCTTAATCTATTGTTTGGGTTGGGATTTGTTTGAATATAAATATTTTATGAAGAGGTGGGAAAAAACTAAAAGTGAAAGAGTTTTAGATGAGAAAATGCTCTCTCTTTTTAATGGATATGAATCATAACTACAAATTAAAAAGTAAAAATAGATAAGAAATTCTATGTCATGATAAAGGGTGCATTATATCAATAATTAGATTTCTTCTATTGAAGCGAAGTTTCAGAATCCGTTTATCTGTGACCTCACTTGGCCACGGAAATGGGGAGCAATCTTATTTAGGATGGCTGCTTGGATAGTTGTCTGCATTGATATCGTGTTGCTTCATACAGTAACCCAGAAGAAAAGGATTGAGATGATTAAATCTCCTATGATTGTTTTTAAAGGCTGAATTGAATGATTCAACCCAAAATTGTATTTAAAAAGTATATAATGATAAACTACTATTTGGTTAGTTAGAGAGATTGGGCCATCCAGTTCCCTCTTGCTCAGAGGGGGTACCTTCCTTGTTCAGTTCTGCCATATATTGATTTAACTGACCCTGAATGTTCTCGGATTGATCCTTTTAATAACTTTTCAAATTAAAGCAAAGCTTTAAAATGAAGGGGGGAGGGAAAGGCATAATCTTGATGAGAGAGATACCACGCTAGGGAAAATGAATATAAGCTAGGCATCTACATCTATGAATTCTGTTGACCTGGTCAGTAATGTGGGTGAGTGCTAGTGATGAGCCAATCAAATGAATGCCACATTGCTACCGTGCTGGAAAATTTTAAGCTTTATTCCATCTTTTCAGATTGCTTTTTATAAGCATCCTTTTGAAGAACAGTAAAATTGGGGTGCCTGGGTGGTTCAGTTGGTAAAGCACCTGAGTTGAGCTCAGGTCATGATCTGATGCGGTTCATGAGTTTGGGTCCCACTTTGGGCTCTGCACTGACAGCACACAGACGGTGCTTCAGACCTCTGTCTCCCTCTCTGTCTGTCCCCTGCTTGCTCTCTCGCTCTGAAAATCATAAACAAACATTAATAAAAATAAAGAACAGTAAAATGACAGTTTTGCAATTCTTTTAATGGCCTTTTCTTAAGAAAATTGTATTCTCAGAAACATTAATGCCACTCTTATCTAAAAACCTTTATCTTCATTACTATGAGACTGAATATAGCCTGAAAAGGCAAATGGGGACAGAATAGCAGCTGGGATACCAATATGGCTCTTTATACGTACATGGTACCTCATTCGGTACTGCCTGGGTACCACAGGGAGGGTTTTTGCTTACTCATATAAACCAGGTGTTTTTGATTTTGTTATTATTGGTGGCTGTGGTGGTGATACATGCGTGTGTATTCTAACGGCAGTGCTAGGAGTGACTGGTGTGTTAAAGCAATAGCAGAGCCCAAAGGGCACTGAATTTAGGACAAGATAATGTTCCAGGCTTTTTTCTCCTTTTACCTCCACACAATAGGCATCTTTTAGGCAATGTTTTAGATGGGGACAGATGTCCAGTAACTAGACACATCTGCCAGTTTTGGAGTCAGTCATTGGAGGCAAAGCAACATATGAAACACTTTACTTCAGTGGTACTTATGAAGGTAAAGTATGCTATACTCAGTAATGACTAGAAAGTGCTTTCTTCAATATTTCCTATAATTTTCTAGAGTTTTACGTTTTTATCTTTTTATCAAAACTTCATGGCTCAAAACATTTACAAGTAAAATTTATGGGAAAATCCATATTAATTGATATAATTGGTATTGATTTTATTCATATTTAATTGACATAGGTACGTATCATTTCTAGGAATGTTCAGGAAAAAGTGAGCAGAATAAACTCAAAAGGAGAAAGATATTTTACTTTTCAAAGTATGTTTATTTTAATAATTTTTTAATGTTTATTTATTTTTAAGAGACAGAGAGACAGAGTGTGAGTGGGGGAGGGGCAGAGAGAGAGAGAGAGGGAGACAGAATCCGAAGCAGGCTCCAGGCTCTGAGCTGTCAGCACAGAGCCTGTCGCGGTGTCACAGGGCTTGAACTCATGAACCATGAAATCATGACCTGAGCCGATGTGGTGCTTAACCAACTAAGCCACCCAGGCGCCCCTCAAAGTATGTTTTAAATTATGAATTCCAAGTTCTATCCACCTAAATTATTTTCTCCCATTATCACAGCTATTGCATCTTCCTTTTCATTCCATTTGATTGAAGACAGTTAGAATTCATATTTACTTGTCCTTTTCATCTTCTTCATACCCATGGTTCCTAAACCAAGAATGAACATTAGAATAACTTAAAAAAAAACCAAACCAAACCAAAGCAGCCATTGTCTTGCATCAAATCCCAAAAGAATTCACATTTAATAGGTTGGAAATAATGTCTTTAAGTAACCCTAAAGCATAATTATAATTAAGAAACACTACATCTTGGGGCGCCTGGGTGGCTCAGTCGGTTGAGCATCCGACTTCGGCTCAGGTCATGATCTCACAGTCCGTGGGTTCCAGCCCCACGTCAGGCTCTGTGCTGACAGCTAGCTCAGAGCATGGATCCTGTTTCAGATTCTGGTCTCCCTGTCTCTCTGCCCCTTCCCTGCTCACTCTCTGTCTCTCAAAATAAAATAAAGACATTAAAAAAAATTAAACACTACATCTTAAACTTTCTGGGATCACTTGCCCATTTGAAGATTCTATAATGAAAGTACCTTCTTCATTTAAAAAATGCACATGAACATAAACACATGGAAATGCAAATATACTTTCATAAAATTACATCCCAACACTTTGTTGCATCAAATTATATGACTCCCTCCTTATGATTCCAAGACCTAACAGTGTACATTTCTCCCCTTCATTTTATCCCAAACTCAACACTCTATTAGCCCTAGTTCCTCTCCCCGGCCTCCTTTTCATTTGAAAATAGACAACTTTGACTATGTTACATCTGGGTACAATTCAGGCCAGAGTTTACAGGTATAATGGAAAGTAATACAAAAACAAGTAGCCTCAAATTTTAGAGCACAGAGAAGGATAGCTCATATGCACTACTGCTTATTGATTAAATACTATGCTGTCTGGGAAAGTGTGGGAAAGGGGTCTCCCTGACAAAGAGGAGAAAATGGATCAAAATAAATAGTTCACGTTAATTACAATAGTGCCTTGGCTTAGTACTAAGAAAAAGTTAGGTGCTTGAACAGACACTAGAGAAAGAATGAGCAAATGAGTAAATGAACGAACAGCTGAAGAACTGGCTGAAAAAAAGAAGCAGAAAGGAGAAAAGACCTTGCTCTTTTCATGTTTAGTTGCCTCATCTGCTAAGTGGGAGCATTAGAAACAGTTTAGGTTCTCTTCCATTCTACAGGATTCCTGCATTCTTCATATTACTGGGTGAATAGAGGGAGGAGATCTATTCTCCAGGGGAAGGCAGGTATCCAAACTGTAGATAAATGGCCCTTGGCAAGAGAGGGGAGTAAAGGGGGATGGCGTATTTGACAATCTATAGTCAGGACAAGCTAAAGGCCAGCGGGTAAATTAAATATTTGGCACAAACTTTGTAATATTGGGGAAGCTTATAAAAACTATTGCTTCAATACAAAAATAAACAAAATTTATTACTTCAACTTCTGAAATAATGAGGCAGATCTATGTGCTTTCACATGAAACACTGTCCAGAATAAATTATTCACTGTAATAAGATCCAGAAAACAGAACACAGAATGCTATTATTTATGTGATGTGTCTACACAGAGCATCTCCGAAAGGATACATGAGAAACTGGTAATGGCGGTGTCTTTAAGAATGGAATCGGGTGGCTAGGAGAAATATTGGAGGGGAGATTTACACTGAGCTGTTATCATTTTTGAGTTCTGTATCATGTGCATATATTGCCTATCTATAAAATATTTCTAAATTTTAAAGTGGTACAAAATATAGTATTAATGAAAATGTAAAAACAGAACCAAAAGTTTTGGTCACCAGCAGAATTATATTTTAAATGCTGTGTTGTAGTCTGATAACATAGGTCTATAGCAGGCCAAAAATAATACATATGGTATATGCCCTACCTTCCCTATTTGTTGCTGTGTTCACCTTTATTTTTTAAATGCGACTAATATAGTGTTAAGACAGTTATAAATAGAAGCCTTTTGGTGAGATGGCACTCAGTGGAGCTCTGCTTCATCCAAATTCATATATGCAACAGTTTCATTAAGAAAAATCACAATTTCTTACACTTCGGAGACAATACTGACCTGCAAGAGGTCAAGTGTACACATGGTTTCCTAGGAGACTACTTTTTCAAGAACTATGAGACAGCATCAGAACACCATTTAGCCATAGTAATTTCCCCCTAGTCTCTAAAGTGGTGGTAACTCTACTAATCAATCTATTAATCTCTCTTGGAATGTGATGCTTAATTATTATGAAATGTCTAGGTCCTGACTGAAATGCAAGATAATCCAGCGTAAGTGATACAAGAAAAATCAATGTGGAAAACAAACATCATTTTTAACTTCATTTATTTGTAGCTTAAAATGTAATGCCATACGATCTTAACAATCAATTAAAAAAGGATTTATATTTGCATAAAACAGAAGCAAAACAGAAGGATATGAAATAAAATGCCATCTCGCTTCAAGTTTTCAAATCAGTACTTAGAGTACTAATATACATCTATATACATTGCAAGTATATATAAATATACTATGAGTAATCTTGAAACCACAATAAATATCAAGTAGGTTTTTAGGCACACGGCATAGGAAAATGCAGAATCTGCATAATTCTTGAGAACGCTGAGTGACTCATTCTTAGATCATTTTCACACATATATTTTACATAAAATATACAGCCATCGAGCACATGATCCCCAGTCACTTCTGAATCTAAACTGTCATCCAGCATTAGTGCCTTCTTATTCTTTGATACTATTGCTCTATACAGCTATTACATAAGAAAATATTTTGCAGTTTTCTTCAATTAATTGTCTAAGAAGGTATCAATGCTACCAAAATAAGTACAGCCTATCTACACAATATGTTCATGGAAATGTGCTTAGAGGCACCAACTTACAGAACTGTCATTGTAATACTGGAGGTTACCCTGAAGGCAAACTTATAAATTTTAAATTATACCATTTTTGAATTGCCAATACTATTAAACCAGAAATTATTACAAACTGAGGTAACACCTGTTTTTTTTTCTTTGAGATAGAAATGCTTGAAAAAACACCAACAGTATTTTGAAAAATTCTGACAAACATGAACTTCATTCACTGTAAGCTTTGTCCGTAACTCTTTCTGCGCAAATGTAAACCAAAGAATCTGAAGGAATGCTGTAGTTGAATTTACATATACTTAGGATTAAAGATCACAGCCAAAGAACACCTGAGATCGCCCTCTGATAAGTGAAGCCTAATGCTTCTCTTAGTAGAGCCAATATTCATTGATCAAATGAACCAAATAGAACCCACTGATATTTCCCCCTGGCTACAAGTCAGATTCTGGCATATCTGGCATATCTGCCATCAGGTACCCTATTCCATATCGTCCATTGGGAGCAGTATCCAGAGTTGGTGATCCACTCTGTTTGCGATAAATATTTTTACCAAAATTTGGAGATGACATCTCACTGGATATCTTTCCATGAATGAGGCTTGCATCATCTCCCTCTAAGTTTACAGGCTCCTTCAGGACCCTTCCTCTCTTATAGGTCACAGATGCTAAATTACCAGAACTATTGTCTATCAGGTTGCAGCGACGAATGATGAAGACGGCTGGCACAGGGAGCACTGCCAGGACCATCAGCAAGATGCAGACAATCATTCCCCACAGTGGATAGCTCAGGAATTCTTCAGATGCCTGTGAAAGCCAAAACACCCATTATTGATTATCCTGCTCTGCAAGTATGTGGGAGGGGGGGACTGTATTTATCTTGGGTTTGCACACAAGGAGTCTTGGGATGTGCTCTGGCCAACAAAAGAGACATCAATCAATTTCCAAGGGTAGGCATTACAACCCTTAGAGTTTCTGCCTCTGCTTCTTAGAATGCTGCCCTCTGTCCATAACACTAGGAAGAAGCCAAGAATGAAAGATTACATGGACAGAGACCAGCCCTCCAAATTTAATCAACTGTATGAGTTAGCTCAGGAAAGACCTAAAGAAGACTCGCCCAGCTCAACCTCAGCACCCTGAGAAATAATAAATCGGCATTGCTCCTGGTCATTAAGTTTGGGGGTAGTTCCATGTTATATGTGCCACCTTTCTTCCTAAAATCTGAAAATCTAAATTTTGTGGGGTTTTTTTCTTTTTAAAGATTTAAATATTTATTTATTTATTTATTTTGAGAGAGAGAAAGCACGAGGAAGGGAGGGGCAGAGAGAGAGAAGGAGAATCCCAATCAGGCTCCACGCTTAGCATGGAACCCAACACGGGGCTGGATCCCACAACTGTGAGATCCTGACCTGAGCCGAAATCAAGAGTCAGCAACTTAACCAACTGAACCCCCCAGGCAACCCCTAAAAATTTAAATTTTGGACCCAAGGTTTTTGTAAGGGTTAACAGTCTTGTTTATGCCCCAATTATGAATTTAGTTGTTATTATATAGAGTTATTGACCATACAAGAGTTAAAGGTCAGAAATATCTCTGAAAAATAAGGATTCTGGTTTTATAACAGCTAATCACTACTTTATTGTTATGTGGCTAATTTGCACCTTGAAAACAGAAATTGAAATAGTCATTGCTAATGTAAAGTAGTTATAACAAAACTTTCCTTCAATATTTACTTAAATTATGTGTACATGGCTAATGCATATTCTCTTGGTATACAGTGTCTGGGATATGATTTAATAAATTTATGTAGGAAAAATATTTCTGGAGGTTTGAGCAATAGGTTTTCTAGAATCAAAGACCCCATAATTATTGGTTCATCTGTGGTGACATAAACACAGTTACTTTAATGAGGACCAAATCAGTGTTTCTCATGTATTAAAAAAAAATCTACAATGTACAGCAAAATCACACATATTTGGGGACAAACAAAATATAAATCTCAAGGTCCTTGCATGAAAACACCACCATTCATTAACAGCAAAATATACTGTGAAGAAAGCAAAAGACAAAAACCCCTAAAATAATATTTTATGAATATTTTTCATAAATTCCTTATTTTGTATTTTACCTTATCTTCAATCCATGCATTATAGCCAGGAGGACTTAATCCCATATTCACAACACTAGCTATTAATAGTGATAACAGCATTAGAGGAGAAATATATTTCCACATATAGTAGTAATATCTGTTGGGAGCAAAGCCCAGCATATCTTTCAGGTCTTCCATAAACCTAAATAAAAAGAAAGTATTTAATTATGCCTCAAGTAACTATTCCCATACCTTAAAAAATGTTCATTATATCAATAGTTTGATGGGAGTTTAGCCATACCCTATGACATTTTATACTGAATCAAAAAATCATATTGGAAGATGACTTATAAATTAAGAACACTTATAAAGTAAAATGGAACCCATTAAGTACTGTGATTTTCATTTAGCAAAAGCCCTCTTAAAGTCTCCTACTGATGACTTTCTACTCTATAAACACAATATTTGCAATACATTAAAAATTCCCGGTCTCTTTTTTTACTTAGTAATAATAAATTAATATCATTCAATATTCAATCAATGTTTATATAATCTAAACTTTCACTTCTTTTCATAGTCTGAATTGAAAGAAGGTCCACACACTGTGACTGACTGATGTATTTCTTAAGTCCACTTTTCATTTCTAGGTTCCTCCTACTTGTCTTTTTTGTTTCTTCCAATTTTTCTGTTAAATCAGCTGGGCACTGTATCTCATAGTAATCCCATAGTCTGGATTTTTCTAGTTACATCCCCAAGTGTTGCTTCATAAGTACACCTGATCCTCCTGTTTCTGGTAATTTAGCACTTAAACCTAGTATTGCTAAGGCTTATGTTGTTGTGGTATCACTTACATGAAATAAAGTTCACCCCTTTAGGTAAACGATGTTAATACTGTCAAAGCATATAATCATTACGTACTATTCCATATCCCTTAGTATTTATCCAGAGATATTTACTGTCCACCCACCAATCCTTGTAGCAATGTTTCTGTAGGCTGTGTAAAAACAGTTGTCTATTAGATTCTTCAAAGAGAGTTCAGAGTAACTATAGTCCCCAATTTCTTGTAAGTTCACAATTGTCTGTGGTCACTACACTTGAATGTGAGTTTTGTAGGATTTACAGTCTTTGGCTTATATTTTCTTTCCTTGAGAACTGTAAATATTTCCTAACTATATACTAGTTACAAAAAGGTTTGTTGATTTCTTATACAAATTTTGATTGTTTTGTTTGCTTGTTTGTTTTAAAGAGGAAAGTGCGAACATAGTCCCCCACTATCACAAATTACGCAGTTGAGGTTCCCACATTTGGGGAAATCGCAGGGGTCAGCACATCCAGAGTGCAATGAATAAGCCTCACCCCAGGAAAATGACCTTCATGATCATGGTATCTCCACTGGCAGGTAAATATGATTGTTTTCTTTATTGTTTTTGCCTGGATAGCCCTTTATTTTTTCCTTTTTTTTTTTTTTTTTTTTTTTTTTTTTGTAATAGACTACATCCTGATGTTGGCCATTATGTGCATTTTTCCAAGTATATCATGTGCCCTTTCAACTTCAAGTCATCACTTATTTCAGGCAAGTTTCTTGAATTACAGTGGTACTGTTCTAGCCACTGCTTTTAGAAGATTTCATTGTACACATGTTGAGTCATCTTTGTATAACTCCTGTTTCTATTTCTTTGCTTTGCTCCTTTGTTATTTCTTCTTGCTTAAGAAATAAACATTTCCTCCTTTCTGGCTTCTAATTCTTGTGAAACTAGTCACTGTGCTTATTGTTTCCGTGTTCATTTTAATTTGATTGTCACTCGAGAAGTGTTTTTTATTATTAACATTCACAATTATTTCCTGAGTTCTATCAGCCCAGTTTTCAAATCTCCCTTTTCTCTAATTGTCATATTTCTTTATTTTAAAAAAAAAACTGATATATGTTGTTCTTTTGTGGCCTCTATCATTTAAAACAATTTATTTCATCTCATTTTGAAACACGGTTAGTTTTCCGTCTATTTTGCTTGTGTGTTTCTGTTTTCTGTAGGGATTTATTCTGCTCTTTCCTCTTTTTTTTTAGAAAAAAGCATTTTTTTCCATAAGATTTTACACCACATTCAAGTGAAGTGAATTTTAAAGATGGCAGAACATTTTATTTTTTTTTTTCACTTAAAAAAACAACAACACAGAGTTTCTTTCTTGAAAGGTTACTATTAGCCTCATAGGCAATGTATGCAGAGCACCGTACCTCATATACAGTAGGAATTTCATAGGTGCACATACAGTAGGAATTTAAGAGATGTAAGTTTAATAACTACTATTAGTAAGAGTATCATTTCTCCTCCTGTTGTCAACTATTATTACTATTAAAAAGAGATATTTTGTACTATGCCTATTGTAAATGACACATTGTGTAAATGGAAATCTACATTATGATTTTAATTGATCCATAGATCAGTCCAATGATAATATCAAATTCTAAAACAGTGCAAGATAGGTGTTGAGGGTAGTTTGATAGAGATTCCTAACTTTGAAATTAAGGTCTAATTTAAAGTTCTGGCTCTATTACTAACATACTGTGTCCTCCTATCTAAGTAAGGCCAATTTTCCATCTGCAATATAGGTATTAGTTACCGCAGGGTATTTTTATGAGGATTCACATTTAATGCATGTCAGACAGCTATTACTACTATTACTATATAGTACATAATTATTAAAGTCCCTCCTCATCTTTGCCTGGAGCTTTTGATAGTATTAAAAACATTTTCCAAACTTTGTCACAAAGCTCCTTCAATCCTGATAATATTCTCAACGTTGTTTGAGAGGACTCTGGTCTTCATGCAACACGCTCATTCCTACTTTACATAGACCTCTGGCAATCTTGATGATAATTAGTGCCTTAGTCCATTTCTGTTAACTAGAGGCAACAACTTTGGAAAATATTGTACAAAGCCTCCAGGAACCTTTTTCTTCTGTGATTACTCTAATGCCTCATTTCACACCAAGTATATATACTTTTGGCATTAAGCAGGTGTATAATTTAGAGGTAATTAGGAAAATAGGCTTTAAAGTTAAGCAGAAATGGCTATGAATCCCAGGTGTGCTTCTGTCCAGGTATATGATGAGTTAGTCACTTGGTGTCTCATAAGCCTGAGAAATGTGAAATGTGGACAACAATAATAACTTAAAACAACTTAACAAGGTTCTTGGAGCATAGCCATTACTCATTAATCTTGGAAGTTACTATTTGATAACTAGAATTAAATCAAAGCTCCAGAATCCTAGATTATATTACTATCTACACAATACTATCTAATCACCTAATAGTGTAATATACTTTATTAAAGGAATTGAATGAAAAAAGAACCTGCAAAAGATTTGATGTTGTTGCAAAGAATTTTCCCTCTAGTCATTCCCCTCCTCTTCTAAGTGAAATAGGTATTGACAATCAGTCTTTCCAAAACAGAGATAAAAAATGAATGCATAGATACTTACTTATCTATGCCATAAACAAAGGAAACAGCAATATTCTCCAAAATGACTACAATTAGCAGAGGCAACGTAGCAGAATAATCATCAAACATTGTAACGAAGTAATTTCCAGAACGTTGCACAAATATCAGGCCAATAATAAATGCCAGAAGACAACAGATAACTACAAAAGAAATAGATGAAAAAATTAAGCTTTTATTCATGAGCATCTTCTAAATTTAATTATTAATTATTATGTCCAAATAGTGTTGTTTTCAATTTTATAACTTGTCAATGATATAAATAGGCAACACCTTTCTTGATACTATGGAATACAATGCATTGGGAGTTAATTAGCTGGAGTTAGGCCCAGATATAATATGAATCCATTGTAAGACTCAACTCATCGCCCTAAGTCTGTGGAAATTTACTTACAAGCACAAATAATAAAGATAGAAAAACTAAGAAGATTTTAAAAGCATAAATCTCTCTAATATTCTTCTCTTTATTAATAACAAAGTGACCTTTTCAGGGGCTCCTGGGTGGCTCAGTTGGTTAAGCGTCCTACTTCGGTTCAGGTCATGATCTTATGGTTCATGAGTTTGAGACCCACGTTGGGCTCTGTGTTGACAGCTCAGAGCCTGGAGCCTGCTTCATATTCAGTGTCTCCTGCTCTCTCTGCCCTTCCACTACTCATGCTCTGTCTCTCTCTGTTTCTCAAAAATAAATGGTAAAAAAAATTATATATAAAAAAATAACAAAGCGACCTTTTCAGGTGGCAAATGTTCATAGATCTTTTCTACTTTTAATAATGTTTTATAGTTTTGGAAGCTCTTTGGAAGTTTTAAATTAATAATGAGACTAATGTAGCTCATAATTGTAAGATTGTGATAACTATTATATTTGATTGAAATATGGTTATTTTAAAGCATAACTGAAAAGAATACGATCAGACCTTGACTTAGCACCAACCCAAATCTCTATTTTGATACTGCATGAACAGATAAGTTGAGAATACAATTATGACAGGGTTGGGTAATCTCATTATCCAAGTAACAGAGAAGAATCTTCCAAAAGGAGTTTTTGGAGTAGTATCTAAGAAAGAGGCAAAAACTTCTAAACACCTACCATTAATATAAAAATTTAGAGAGGGTGCCTGAGTGGCTCTGACTCTGGATTTTGGCTCAGGTCATAATCTCATGGTTCATGAGTTCAAGACCTAAATCAGACTCCATGCTGGCAGTGTGGAGGCTGCCTGGGATACTCTCTCTCTCTCTTTGTCCTTCTCCAGTGTGCGCTCCTGCGCTCCCGCTCTCGCTCTCGCTCGCTCTCTCTCTCTCTCCCCCTCTCTCTAAGTAAACAATAAAAAAACTTTATAAAATTTTTTTAAAAAAAACTTAGATTTCTGGGATCTATAAAATATTCCCATATTTTCATAGACTATTCTCTCACATACACAGCAAAGGACTTGTCAAAAATGAAAGATGACTGTGTTCTACTCAACTACCTTTTAGAAGAGGAGAGTACAAGTAATAGAACAGGTAATGGCAGTTTGGGAGGGTAGAAAACAGACATCCTTGGGTTCAATCAGATGGGGGTTCCCTAACAATCCCAGGAAGTTCAATGAAGTCATTACCTCCATCTCTGAAGCGCTATGCTAGTGGTATGAGTTACATCATACGTAAATGAGGATTATACATAAACATACAATGTAGAGAAGGGAAAGTAACATTTGCTTGGAGTTTATCACACACTGAAATACTTAAATGCTTGCCGCAATATTCTGTACTCAAAGTCTCTGGATGGAAGTAGCAGTGCTTGAACCACAGCCTGTGTCACTTTCACTCTCTCCTACTTATACCATAGTACATGGTAAATAAGAAGAAAGCATATTCTAGGTGATACAGATGGTAAAAGTTTTGCTGGAGATGTGAGAGGAAGAGATTATAAAGAAGTGACTCACCTAATTCCTACTGGACTATCAGGGAAGACAAAAACACATCTGACAAAAGATAATGGAGGAACGTTTTTTCAAGGCGAAATACTACTTTAAGTATAGGTATGATCCCAAAAGACAGGTAATGGGTCAAGGGAGAACATTCACTTTGCTCTGAGGAAACAGATCCTCCAGTGGGGGTCACCAAATACTACCTTGTGGGTCTTCCCTCTACACGGTTGCTTTTCCCTTAATTTTGCAAGCCCTCTTACTACAGGAGGGTTTAGATACGCGGCAAAGATGACAAAAGCAGCAATGATGTTACTTAACATGAACACCAGGCAGGATATCGATAGCCTTGAACGAAATAGAAACTTCAGAAGGAGAGACTGCCTTTTCGGAGAAGATAGGGAGGTTTCTCATTTAATTTCAGCTGAGCTGAGGATATTTAGATATAAATATTTAACAAGCTGCTGAAGTTGTTTTACACGCACATACACAAACTTAGCAGAGCAGTAAGTGATAAAGATACATATTTGAGAGCTGTTTATATGTAAGTCATTACTAAATCTTTCAGAGCTAAAAACTGAACTTTGAAGAACTTATATACTACTGCCTTGCATTTAATATCATATATGTATTCTTTTCCCAATTTGTTTTTGCATCACTTACCAACACGGCTCCTGCACTCTGGTCTGGGCTGGCTTCCTTAACTGTTCCCCTTTATCTCTATTTATATATGCTAACCTGAAGCTATTACTAAAGCTATCCTCTGACCCCTAAAAGACCCTTCCTCTTCCCCTTTCCAATTCAACTTCCATCTCTTTTACTGATAGTCCCATCATATATTTAGGTGACCTTTGCTGCTTCCTAATTCTTAATGTTAAATCACGATTATGCTATCTATCAGTATATTACATGGTGTAAGTCTTATCTACCCCAACTTGGTTTTAGTTATCAGTACTATTATTTTTGGAGACAAGTCTCTCCTATATTTCTGCATCTCTTTTATAATTTCTGTTATATCGTTTACATCCTTTCAATGCAAGGATGATGCAGTACAAAACTGGCATTTTAAAAATGCTTGCAGTTTGGACTTATTAATAACCATCAATATGGAACAATTGTTTTATTTTCTTTCTTATTTAGAAGTATTAGCTACTAGTAGGCCACAAGGGCGATTTTAAATGAGAATTAAATTTAGATCTATCTGTTTCAATTATGCATTTTTTGGAAAAGAAATATTGGATCTGAATGTTTAAAAATATTTGTCTTGTTTACAAAGTTATACATAAACATTCTATGACTTTATTCTAGTGTCAGTAATTCATGGTAGTGATATTACTACTACTAAGAGTGATATAGTAAGTAATCACTCATAATTTATACAACCTATAGAAAATCTATAATTTGCATAGTATATAAATACATAAATAACAAATAATAGTAATACATATTAACACACAGAAATGAATAAAACACTATCTCATTTCCATCTCTGATCTCTCACCAAAAGTAACATGGCCTGTATCAGTTCAATGAAAAGTCAAATACATAAAAACTCACCAGTAAGAATTTCTTTCCTCACTTTGAAAGTGTCCACAATAGGTGTGATGATCCCTTCAATGGTTCCAAACATGCTGCCAAGCCCTAGATTGACCAGCATGAGGAAGAACATCACTGACCAAAAGGGAGATGCAGGGAAATGTGTCATTGCTTCTGTAAAGGCAATAAAAGCTAACCCAGTGCCCTGAACAGCCTGTAAAATATATATAAAATAGCGACATTAGTACTGAATAATGTTAAGTGGTAGCTATATATATACATATGTATATATATATATCAATTACAAAGAGGAGGGTAAACTGAGTCATACTTGAAAATTACTGGAAATAAACAGGCTGATATCATGTTGTCTCCTAAGAAACTGTACCTCCAAACACACTTAAAGTTGATTGCATGATGTTATAAAAACAAGAGACCAGAATTAAAAAAAAAAAAAAAAAAGAACTAACGTTTAAGTTAGTAATTAAATCTGTCTTTATGGAACTCAAGATTTTTATATAAATGATGGCTCCATCCATAATTTCCTGCACATGATTCTTTATGCTTAGTCTCCTGTATAGTTAGCTATCTTATGCAAAGGATTAATGGCCAATCTCTTCATTATATTTTCCTTTGTGGCAATACAGGGAAAGGGCAACAACCAGTACAATGATATTTATTAATGTTCACCTTTTTGTGTTTATGAAAATAAATGACAGTGGCTGAAGAAAAGGACTTAATCAGGACTTGTTAAACATAAATACTAGAATGGCCAAATATTCATATGCCAAAACAATCATACAATATAGAAATGATAGTCATAATTCAAACTCTGTATTACAACATTATACCAGGAAAGGTATCAGACTAATTTCATTTTATATGATGAAAATTAGTTTATATCTTACTTTATATTATTACGGCTTAATCAATGGGATTGCATATTAAAGTAAAGCAATCCTTAATGATGTAAAAAAGTTTGTTCTTTTGATTTCTCTCTTATTTTTTTCAACTTTGTTTGTCTACTTTCTTAAATGTTAACTGTTATTAAAACAAAATCTTAAACTAAAGAAAAAGAAAGTATGTTCTCTGAAATTAAAAATGCTAATTTTGGAACAGCCTAAATATTCCACAGGCATTTTAAAGGTCATTTTCTTAAAAGATGTTTTCTGGGCAATGCATATTTTAACTGACTGATGACTATTGTATTGTTCAAGCAAAACCTACTAACTTTATTTAGCTCATCTTCAATTTGGCAGGAATTGAGATGAAGAGCAGGAAACTCTTCTTCTTTCACTTTTTGAATGATGTCATAAACTAAATGATAATCTTCTGCAGTAACAGATGACAGGTTGATATGATGAGGAATAATGTCCTGACTAATGTTGCCCATTCTCAAAAATTTTACGATCATTTTCGAATTTCTGGAAAATAGAACAACATATTAATGGACATTTATAGGCTTGGGGGGTGGTATACTTTTCATATACTCATGCCATCAAAAGCTAAAGGAAAATTAAAATCCATACTCTGCGATGCATTTCTCATTTATGACATTTGCTTTGAAGCCCAGAACTGCAAACACCACCAGTGTTGCCAGGACAGATGTAAAAAAGTTAATGAAGGACACCAGGACAGCATCGAAGTGGCAATTGTTGTCTCTTTTGTTGTAGCTTGAAAAGGCGATGACGCCACCAAAGCCCAGACCTAAGGCAAAGAACACCTGGGTGGCAGCTTCTCTCCAGACCTTGGGCTCCAGCATCATTTCAAGCTGTTTAAAATTAAACATAATAGAAATCAGCTGCAAAATAATATTTACGAATAATCTACATGGAATCAGTTCTCCTATTTAAATATATCCTAATGATATTTATGCACTCAAAGGTTATTTAAACTTGGGTGATAATCTATTCTTAAGTAGAAATAATAAATTTTTCACTCAGTAGTAAAACAAGAAAAATGAAGAAAGACTACACACAAACATGCAGATGGAGATTTTACTTACATGGAGATTTTCTACCTATGGAGGAATGTTTTAATATCTTTAAGACAAATAAATCAAAAGGACTATTTCAAATTAACTATCTTCAATCATCTCCTACTTATGCCTTTGTTTTCTTCCCAAAGCAAAATAACTTAGCAATAATACCTAATTATTTAACTAATATTCTAAGTTTTGTGTTTTCAGGTGGAAGTCTAACAATCAAAGGAGATAATAAGCAGATTATGAGCTTGATAGAGCGGACTATTTGTACTTTGCATATTCACATTTGTAGTCTTCAAGAGTTGCCTGAAAGCCTTTTCTTTGAAAATGGAAGAACTATAACTATATCATTTCCAAGACACTTTCAGATCCAAACTTTTAAAGTTCTGAACCTGTGCTGAATACATATTTCAATTAACAGCTTTACTTCTATAACTGTGCATAATCAAACCTTTCAAATGGAACAATTAATCTTAACCATATCTGACACAGATGTTAATAAAGTTAAGTTTGATTTCAGTAACAACAGTGTTTAAATTGGTATTGTATCTCTTTTTACTATTGCAGTGAATTTGTTCTCATTAGAAGCAACATCAAACATGGCTAAGAACATGAGTTCCAGTTTCAGATCCTGATTCAGCCATTTCATGATCTAAACACAGTGCTATCTAGAGTAAGTGGCTGCTCTCTCTGAGTTTCATCTTCCTCAACTGAAGATAGGAGGAACAAGGCATATACCAGTCTACCATATTCCCTACCTATCACACTCTTGTGCTAAATAGTCTTTGACATAGATGGACTGTACAGGTAGGCACACTGATAAGTACTTTGTATGGATTATCTCATTTAATCTTCAGAACAATTTATGAAATTTGTTGCGACTATTGTCTGAATAATAGAAAGATTAAGTAATCTGCCTGACGTTACACAGCAGTTCTGGGGTAAAGCTGAAATATGAACTCAAGTAGATTCCAAAATGCATATTTTCTCAAATATTAGGATGTACTGTTCAATTAATTTTAGTGATTATTATTAAAATATAATATTTTCATGAAACGTAATCATGATCATATTTGTCATTTACAGAGATTTAATTAAAATATGCATATAAAATTTGATCTTATTACATTATCATTCTATCCTTAGTACTGATCTAAAATACACAACCATCTATCTCTACTCTACCCACTAGATGGCAGGCAACACCTATTTACTAAAGGCATTATTCAGATTACTTGCAGTTCAGGAACTAAATCTGCATTCACTGTTCTGGGAATAGTTTGTGTGCCTTACTTTATCCCTTGGACAAGCAATGTAAATTAAAAAGTAATTGACAGCTTATCACTATCAGATCAACTATCACACGCACATCTATCTACAGTCAGTGAAAAAGGAAGTGAAGAAAGAACTAACTATATTTTAATAGTGATTTCCCAGTCCTGGTTTAAAATGTTAATAATGCTACAGTTTTAAATATGGGGCCATGTAAAAGTGTCATATCAAAGTATTTAAATTCTAAGATATCCATTTAAATCAAATATTCAGAATTATGTCACAAGCAATAGCCAACTTGTAAAAAGTGATATTCCAGAAGTTTACACCAAAGTTTGTTGTTTTAAACTCAAAAATCTTTCTTAAAATATTATAATACAAATATTTTTCGATATTAAATATGGCCCACTCGAAGCCGACTTAAATTATAATACAGCTGAAATCTATAAATCTTCAATCGTTACTCACGGAGGAGTTCCAACTCTAAATGCTAACCATGACTTTTGAATTAGTCAAGAAAATCAGATACCAGTGGCAGCATTTTTGCTACTAGAGAATGAATACCAAGCTGGAATATGATAGCCAAAGAACACAGCCTCTGTTACATAGTATCAAGGCAGCTGGCAGGACTGACAAAGAATTCCAGGGAAGCTAATTTCTGCCTAAATCTCACAGCAGGATGATGGCTGCACAGTCACCCCTCAGATAACTTCCAATTTCTGAACTAATTTTGAAACTGTATCTTTGTAACTCTGTGTCCGCCAATAATAGTGTTAGCAAATTAATAGTAAGGTGTAACTTCATTTCAGTGACTTACTAAAATGTATGTACACCTCAAAGCTTGTTTTTGTTTCCTGCCAAATCAATTTACCAAAGCCACAAGGGCTGATTAAACAGGTTCAATGTGCCCAGCATTGGGTTCAGCTCTAACATGAATAAAAGAACATAAGTTCTGAGCCTTTTATGGAGCCTAATGAGAATCTCCCTGAAATGTAAATGCATTTATAAAAGTTTCAAAACTTTCCAAACTTGACACTAGAAGTATTATTCTAGGAGGCACAAATACCTCAAAACAAAAACACTGATTTTCTCTGAAACAGGATTTTAGAGCACATAAACATTCTCAGCCTCTATTCATGGATTTTAGATGATCTGTCAATCTTCCAGACATTAAGCAAATTATGTTGTGTTTTTCTGGTAAAAAAGTTCTTAGTATCAGTTTTTTCTAAGGTGTCAATTACTAAAGGTTAAAAACCACTGACTTAGAGAAGGAAGAGGAGTAAAGACGGAAAAGTTCTAAAATATCTCAGTGTAAAAAACTGGAAGTGAATTTACTATAAAAGAGGAATTTTTGAAGTTCACATAGTGATAGTCTTACTCTAGAACAACAATGCGACACTGAAAATGGGAGATGGATGGATATAATTATAGACATATAAAAGCCCTGGTTTTTTTCCCTAGGCTGGTTAACATAACAGTTATAATTTAAAAGGCTAATGTACATATGTTAGAACAATTATCCCTTAAGTCTAATTGTGGGAACATTTTAACAATGGACATAATGCTTTTATGATTGTTAAGCCTTAAATAGAAATGCAGTACATACCTTAGGGGTAAACATGTGGCGGATGCCATCAATTGAACCATTTAAAAGGAATGCTCTGATTAGGAAGCATATAAGTACCACATATGGGAAAAGAGAACTAAAATACATGATCTACAAAGGAAAAGAAATATAGGTGAGACACACTAACATCCATATTCCTTTCTATAGTTAAGGTTATGTGTCCTCTTCTATACTTTGACAGTCTGTTTTTATAGCATGATTAATAATACTATTAATACCTTGTATAGCCATCATTTTAGAATGGCTTATTAGTTTTAACAGAATGTGACTTAAGATCTTATTTGAGATATAATGAGAAATAAGGACTCTCTCTTACTTACACTCCTTTAAAATAGTCCATAGGTATGGTGTAACTTGATTTCTTATAGTTCACAAAATAAGCAATATTTAAGAGAAATGAATAGTTACTGACTCCCTAATAAATATTTACTTTTATTGCTTTAGGTGAAAGCAACATCAAACAGGTCTTTTATTTTCATTATTCGAAATTCCATTATAAGTCTGTAAAGCTTTTGGAGTAGAGAGCGGCTCCTGTTAAGTCTTCCCAAGACTGAATAATTAGTAATGTCAAGGTTTTACTTTCTGCTTCTCAAGTTTTCACACTTAAAGTTAACCAAATGTTTAATCACAGAAAAGCAATTGTCCTAACCAGACATTTGCTGCTTTCTTGACATCTCCATGCAGAAGCCTAACAGGTCTCTAAAACTTTTCAGCTCCAGAAAAGAACTTCTGACTTCCTCCCACAGGTGTCCCCACCCATCTCCACCTCAACAAATAGCCCAACCATCCATCCAGGTGCTAAAGTCAAACACCCAGAAGTAGTCCTCCACCACTGGTAATATTCTCCTAGTTTCCAGGCTACCACTCAGGTTATCTTATTCCTGCTTAACTCATTCCCGGGATTCTAATACAGTTGCAACCAAATGTGAGTTCCTCCCTCCGACCTCACATTTCAGCGCCTCTCTTCCCAGCTCTACCATGCTTCCTTCCCCCAGCTGAGCCCGGCCCCCAAGCCCTTGCTAGCTGCCTCAGACCCAGCTCTGCAGCTTCAGAACAGAGTAGGGCTGCACCTGCAGTCTGAGGCACTCATCTCCTGACCTGCACGACTCGCTCTTCTGTTATCTATGTCTCACCTTCATCTTCAGTGAACTAAAACATGAGGGTCAACCGAATGAACAGCAAAAGTAAAGGATATTTAGGTACTGACACAAATTTCAAAAAAAGATCTTTGATGAGATGAGGAGAGATTACGTGACTTGAAATTTCACTATAAAACACATTTTTATGTTCTTTCTTTAAACACGTTTTTAAAAGCACCACTTTCTATCAATCTTTAATTCACAACCTAGAATGACATGGTACTTGTAGTTTGCCCACAGACATTTATAGCAGAACTTGAGGAAGGTGTGGAGGGCATGCAGGAGTGATTATTAGCCCAATCAGGAGGGGCTCTAATATACTAACTTTTCCAGAAGATTGAATGCCTTTGATCATAGCCAAGCAAACTACAACCCAGGCGGCCAGCAAGCAGACGGTCATTTTCCAGTTTAAGCCCCCACTCTCAGAAATGGAATTGGAAATATTCAGGGCTTCTCTGTACCAGTAATAGGTGGTGGCGGAACTTTTTTCACATTCTGGTTCCACGACTGTAGAAAGAAAGGAAATACAGTCATTTCAGACTAGAAAGAGTAATGAGGTACTTTTTCCCCAGTAAGCTTATATTTATAAGCTTAATATTCTTAATTAATTCTTAAGAATTCTTCATTCTTATTCAGTTCTTAACATTTATAGAAAAGTACTACTATTCTCCAGAAGTATTTACATTCACAATGAAAACACAATGATGCGAAACTGTGAAAAATCCACAGATATGTTTCTTATCACACATTTCTGAAACAGGAATATCTGAGGTTTTTTTTTTTATAAAAGTAATTAAAATACATTGGGTTTACAGCTCTTTCCATCCCCAGAGTTATCTGACTGACTTCCTGGGGCAGACCTGTCAAATTTGCTTGCTGCTGGTCATATGTGACTTTTGACATTAAATTAATCTAAAGTGGCATTTGCTGTAAATGCAAAGAATGTTTTTTTAGAGACTTAGTACAAGAAAACTAATGAAATTATATTAATAATTTTATATTATTTGTTGAAATGTTAATATTTTGGAAAAATATTTCACTGACTTTTTGTTTTAAATGTGGCTACTTGTAAACTTTAGACTACACATGTGAATTTCATTCTACATTTACTGGACATCACTACTATAGGGAATTGTCCTGTATTTACATTCTAGGATTTTAAAAAGGGATGGGAAATCTATGAAACAACAGAACAAGAGGCATAAAAACAATTACTCAATTCAAATTCTTTTTTTCCTATTTTTAATTTTATTTTTATTCTATTATCTCCTTTATGATTACCTGAATGTCCTTTTTTTTAAAAAAAAAATTGTATTACTCAAATATAATTGACAGACAATGTTATATTAGTTTCAGATGTCCAATATAGTGATTCGACAATTTTGTACAGGACATGATGCTCACCATAAGCATAGTTACCATCTGTCAGCATACAATGTCATTACATATTCTTTACTATATTCCTTATGCTATACCTTTCATCTCCATGACTTATTTTCACCTAACACCATGGGGCACAATAACATAACTTGGGAAGACTTAGTGAAATTACATGGTGCCAAAGTTCTCTCTGTTCTAAATCTGCCAATCCTAAAAGTGAGGTAAGCCTGTTATGATAATAATTTTGACAGATTTTTCCACATTATTTTAAAAGGAAAAATATCTCAAAATCTCACTCCCTTGGCAACTTTATGATCTTTATATACAAAAACACATGATACATGTCTTACAAGTATGTGAAGCATTTTTCACCAAAGGACATTGATCCCAAGGTAGAGGTTGCTGAAAAGACTGAGAAAAATAAAACAAACTCCAGCCAATGATGACATTGTAGTAAAGAGCCACAAAAAAGCACACCTGCAAAACAAAACAGTGAGATTACATTACATTTCTCATGCCCATCCTTGGAAATGAGATGAAATGCATAAAACTTATGCAACATTTAAAAAATCCTCCTAATTTCATTTTTATTTGAAACACATTATCTTTTCTAAAAAAGATGTCTCTCATAGGTCTTAACATGCATTATCAAGATTGACCTATATTAATATTTACAGCTTGGTTTATGTTATTAGTGCAAACTCTGATGGTGTTTTTTAAAAACGCAATTAAAGAGGGGCGCCTGGGTGGCTTAGTTGGTTAGGCATCCGACTTTCGCTGGGTCATGATCTCGCGGTTCGTGGGTTCGAGCCCCGCGTCGGGCTCTGTGCTAACTGCCAGCTCAGAGCCTGGAGCCTATTTCAGAGCCTGTGTCTCCCTCTCTCTCTGACCCTCCCCTGCTCACGCTGTCTCTCTCTCTCTCTCTCTCCTAGAAATAAATAAAAATATTAAAAAAAAAAAACACACAATTAAAGAGCTGAATAGAAATACATAAACTCAAAGGTTTCATATAAATGTAAACTATTCAATTACAAACCCTGTAAAAATTGTATGGCATATACCATACCAGGAAACTTACTACACAACTTGCAAATCCAATGCCACCCAGTTTAGGGCTTATGTAATTCCATACACCAATGCTTCCTCGCCGAATTCTTTGACCCACAGAAAGTTCCAGGAAAAAAAGAGGAATACCTATTACCAGAAGCAGTATTAAATATGGCAAAAGATAGGCACCTACAGAGACAAGAACAAATAAAATAGATTATATTTAACAGTAACAGTAGAGAATACACTAATTTTGAAAGTCTCATAAAATACAATATTTGAACTTCTATACAGTATAGTTACAAAGGACTTTAAAAGAAAATGAAGTTTCATCATTTTAAACTTTCTGGTATTTGAAACCCAAATTTGACTGCTACAAAGGGTTTTATTTTAAAAAATAAAATTGTGATTAAAGTAAGAAAACAGTTTTTAGTTTCATTTTATTGAGAGAGTATGACTTCATTTTCCATAAAAATAATTGATTTCTTAAAATTAATTGTTTTCTCAACTAGGTTTCACAAACTTCTAGAAATCTTATTCACAGAATGCTCATCAAGTGATTTATTAAATCTACTCAAACTTATATAAATCAAGCATTCCAAGTTAGATAAATTAGAGTGAATGAGATTTTATAGTATTAAAGCTGACTTTTCTCCCTGAATAACACCAGGGGAGAAGTGGCTGACAAGATTGAAAAAAGAAAAAGAACTTCTACCTCAGACAAATGTGATTTTTCCCCCATACGTACTTCATTTACCAAGTACATTTCAGGAATTTTTTGTTTTCCAAAATTCTGTGAAAGGGTGGTGAGACTGAGTGAAAAGCTAAGGTATGTAATATCTATTATAAAATACATGTGCATATATATATTGTCCTTGTAGTAAGGCTTTCATACTTAAAAATTATTTTATAGCTAAATCTCAAATTAAGACATACTACTAATTATTTTAGAATGTGAATTGTTTGACAATGTTAGTATTAGATTCTATTAATTGATAAAGTTAAACGTGAAATGTATTCATTCCTACATAAGAATACATGTACAAATCATTCATTAAATAACCTCTAGGATAGAATTTCTTCATTCAAATTTCTTATATGAAGTTCTGTCCAACCAGATACTGTCAAGTAAATCATGCAATTGATTGGTGTCAATGCATCAAATGCATTAATAATAAAATAAGCCATTTATTGTATTTTCCCATAAAAAACTATTTAATGGTATTGAATAGATTTTAGAAGTTGTTCAAATTGTTCTGGTGGTTATTCTGCTTAAGAAGTAAACATTAATTTTTTTTCAAATTATTGATCTCAGTATATATCTCTGAAATAATGACTATGTGCAAGAATTTCCCTAATATAGTCATCTATAGAAAATCTCTACTTTCTTATTATGGATTTTCAGTCTTTCGGATTTAAGTTGATTCTACAAATGGGAATGTGATGTAAAGCATGGATGCATGAGCCTATAAAACAGATCTATCAAAAATCTAGTTCTTTAAAATTGTATTTATTTAAATTCAAGTTAATAAACATACAATGGAGTACTGGTTTCAGAGTAGAACCCAGTGGTTCATCACTTACATATAACACTCAGTGCTCATCTCAACAAACGCCCTTAAAAAACACACAATAAAAAAATCTAATTTTTAAAATGATTAGTAACATTCAGGTGCTAATGACCTGGAAATGTTTCCCAAAGGACTGAAAGAACATTTTAAACATGAACTTAATCTTAGAATGTGAATGCATTTATATATATGTGCATGACTAGAGAGGGAGAGAATGAATTAAAGCTGGCGATCTTTCCTTAGTTATATAACTAAGCATGCATGACATTCTCTTAGATACTTAACTTTTCTTCTGACTCAAATTTCTTCTAACATTAACCTCCATATGAAAAATAGGCATAGCTAAGATATACATGAACATTTACTATTTGCCAAGGCACATTTCTAGGCATGCTACATGTAGTTACTCATTTATTCCTTACAAGAATCCAAGGCAGAAAGTACCATTATTATCCTCATTTTACAAGTGTGGGAACTAAACCAGAAGTAAGTTAACTTGGAAAAGGTCATTTGGCTAGAGTGGGAAAGAGCCGAGTTTCAAGGCCAAATTGACTTCAATCGTGAGCTGGTAGCTTCCATATTACGCTATTTATTAAGCTGAACCACTGTACTTTAATATCTTAAAACAAATCAACTTATGCTGGCTCTATCACTTTTTAGTTCTATTATTCATAAAATGCCTCAAGTGACAGATGAATGAGATTCAACTAGTCTGAGGCTGGTTGACTCAACAGCCAGAAAATACTACTCAAATACCCATAAGGCTCAATACTATACCGCATGTTGGATACAGCCTTTTGTATTCTGACAGCACTTTTGAAATAATAAAGTCCACTGGCATTTTATATCACTGTCTAGTATATTTTATTTGAAGACAAGAAACAATAATAGGAAGAACATTTTGGTTCCTTTTACATATGACAATAAGGAGGAGCCACTCTTGCTAATAACTAATTTCTAACTATGAAATCCTTTCAGTTATCCACCAAAACAAAATTTGTGTTAAATGGATGGCAGACTTCAACCAAGACAGCCTCTTTCCTTAATAGTATGGTCAGTAAGGCTCATAAGGTGAAAGGCTTAAAAATCAGAATTCCTCTTTTTCTAGTCTTGGCAAATGGGACGACTCATGAGAAAGAAAAAGCAGGGTAGTACATTGCTGCTTATACCTGACTTGATAAATAATTCCTATGTGATGTTAATGACTAGCTAAGGAGCATACAGTTTCGATGGAGTGATGTATAAAGCATCCCATCACTGACATCAAGAGGTACTGATTCTTACTTCTCAGGCAGATCTGTCTAACAGGCTACTGTTTCCAAACCTGTTGTTTTGTGCCTGGTTGAATTAACTAAGCAAGATCATAAATATATTTTGTCATCAGAACACCTTAGCTTTTTATCTTTTAACCCAAAAAGAAATTTCAAAAATGAATGATTATAGTATTTCATTTGATTTGTACATCAAATATAAAACCATATTTTTGTCTAGTCAACTAAACTATCACAAATTGGAATCAAATACCAAAATATTCTTTCTACCCTTTGCATGATGAAATTCAGTTACTATTTAGTTTTTAATCCATGTACATATATAGATAATTAAATTTCAACCCAAATGTTTGTTAACTTAACATTACTTGACTTTAGTATCCTAGAGAGCTTGTGTCCTACATGAACAAGCCATTCCCTTGTATATATTTTTATTGACTTTTAAGACAACTTTTGCTAAATAGCAAAATAGGAGTAGAACCCAGAGAGGATGTTAATTTCTTTAAAGTTTTTTTTTGAAACTAAACATTATCCCCAAATACTATGGAATTAGGAATCAAATATATATGATATCTAAGGATGAAGAATGTCTGGCATTACATTAATTATTTGGTTAAATCCCTTCTACTGGGATCTACAAAATTCTGGCCAGCATTTGAACACTATTATTATTCTACATTATATGCAATTTTTGTATGGAAAAAGGAAATTATTTCAAATTCAGAGTTCATAAATTGTGGAGAGAAGATTCTTTATGACCTGTTTCACCAGTGTTGTCTTACATCAGAAACTTTAGGTTTTTCTCCAAAGAGAATAACTGACAGGCACAAGGAATGCCTCTAACATTTCTTAGAAAGGTCAGTAATTTAGAGATGTTTAATAACATCCACAGAAAGAATCTGAGAATGTATTACCCTTAAGAAATCTTTCTTTGAGTATTCATAACAAGCCATCTGCCTCTATGGAAACCTAATCTGAAAACAGAGGTGAGCTTACTTCCAACAAAGGAGTCTCCCTGGCTTTACAATGGAATTCATACTTTCTGAAATAATGAGACTGCAGCAACAACAACAGCTGTTTGAAACAGTCAATTACAATTTACTTAGCAACGTATCACTGAACAACAAAAACAAAAACCCCTAAAACTTACCACCTCCGTTCTTCTGACACAGATAGGGGAATCGCCACACATTTCCTAAACCTACAGAAAATCCAACTTGGGCCAGGATGTATTGTAGTTTACTGTTCCAAGCTGGTCTTTCATCTTCAACTTCCAATTCCTCTTCAATATCTGTATCTTTTTCCTCCTGAACATCAACAATTAGTTCACTCTTCTTAAAAGCATCATCAGCTGAGTCTTCATTGGAGAGAAGGTCTTTGACAGACTCAATAACTTCATCGTCTAATTCTCTTTTCACCACCTTGCTATTCTTCGGCATTGGAAAGTTTGGTTATTATTATTTTTTAAAAATCCCTATGATAAATTTGTCAACTTTTTTTTGAACGATGTTAACTGATATGAATAAAAGATGGAGGAAGGTATCAAATAAATCTTTGATTCAAGGTGATATAGTTTGAATGGATCCTGGATCTGTATGTCCAATTCTATAGGTACCTGTAAAATTTTAAGTTGAAAAACAATAATATTTAATGAGAAATATATTTAAAATACTGAAGACTCTTTATTATTAGTTTTTATGAGAAAAACTCTTTCTACAGAGTATGAGACATATGAATATCCTTGGCCCTTCATAGTTTAATGTTAACAGAAGTATAAAAATTGTAAAGTACACATGTGCTTCAGACACATTTTGTTTTAACGTTTATTTTATTTATTTATTTATTTATTTATTTATTTATTTATTGAGAGAGAGGGAGAATGAGCGGGGCGGGGGGGAGGGGCAGAGCACAGAGAAAGAGGGAGACACAGAACTGGAAGCAGGCTCCAGGCTCTGAGTTGTCAGCACAGAACCTGATGCAGGCTCAAACACTTGAACAGTGAGATCATGACCTGAGCTGAAGTAGGATGCTTAAACAACTGAGCCACCCAGGTACCTCCAGACACATTTTCTTTTAACTAACTTCTTCCTTCTTACATAAATCTACTTTGATTTCAGATATACTCTAATGCACAATAAATTGGTGTTCATTAGTAATTATTTTGTGACCCTTTTTCTTAATTTTTCCTTTTTCCCTCTCTGACTAAAGTACATTCCTTATTTTATTCCTCATAGAATTACATATGCAATTATTACATGTCATCCCTATAAATCTGTCTTATACAGAATGTCTTCTGTTCATGTATTCTGTTCACTCACTTGATATTCATTGTAATAGGGCTACAATTCAGGGATACAAACATTCACAAATTATACAATGTCTGCCTTAAAGGAGCTTATATCTGATAGGGTGAAAGGCACATTCCAAACAATTATACTATGTTGCATAATTTATATGATGCAACATCATTAGTATAGGAGAGATCAGAAATGTTGCATAAAAGCAGCATTATAGTTGGGCAGTAATAGAGTGAGGCCACACCAAACATAAAGAATAGGATAAAAAAGATGCAGGAAGTGGTAAAAATTATTATTTGCGTAAACATTCTCTCAAATGACCCAAAAAACATACTGCCACCACTTTGGCATTTTCCTTTTATTTCATTTTATATTTCATATCCTTTTCTCTGTTCAAATATAGACTCAAGTAAGTCTATAGGGTATGTTTGCAAACTAATGAGATTGTTTATTTCAAAAAGTGACTAAACATATGAATGCTTCTCTTCAAGATTGGGTCAAGAGACTTTGAAATAATATCCCAAGAGGTCTGCCATTTGTTGCCAGAAAAAAAAAAAAAACCAAAAACAAAAAAAAACCCAATTATTTGATGTGACTTCAAATTCAAAGTCAGAGAAATAGCCCATCATACTTTAACTTATAATCTTCAGGAACAACACAGGGAGCTAGGTAACTCAATGAAGAAAAAAAAAAGGAATTCATTAACTTGACCATGTAACTTTTATTGGTTGCCTTTATGTTTGGAGGTGGTGTTCAGTTGTTTCCCAATTAAAATATATACCCTAAGAATAAACACTCATTTAGGATTTGGTGAAGATTAAGAGTTAAGACTGTGAAGAAAATTCTGAAAAAGCAGCATTCCCAAAATACTTTAAATAATAGATACATCTCTAGAATAAGTGAAAAACTTCTCATGGTGACTATCGTTAAGACACCAACAAGTTTTTGATGTGGAAGTAGTTTTAAGTGGTTAGAGATTATGTTTGTTTAATTTACTTTATTTTCCTTGAGAGTTCAGTAAATATTAGTTGAGTAAATAAATAAATACAGCCATTGAAAAATTGAAATAAGCTAATTTTCCAAATAGATTTGCTGAAGAAACAATCTGACATATAGGAAATTGTGAGACAAGAATTATGTAAAGATCTACATTTACATTTATTGAATTATCTAAAGATAAGTTGTTGGCACAGTGAAAGAGTGATACATAGATGAGAGTATTGGCTTTAATCTGACAAACCTGGAGTTGTATCCTAGTTCTTTTATTTCTTAGTGGTATAAATTCTCCTAGTCATCCCACTCAGCCTTAGTTTCCTCAATAAACTAAGGCTATAAGCTATTCTTTTTCCTTTTTCCATACAAATAAAAAGGCAAGGAATGTACCAAGGTTTAGAAATACATCTACAGTAAAAACACCCACCATATCAAAAAGAAAAATTTAGACAGTGTTCCTCATGAACCTTCCCCAAATTATCTCAGAAATTGTACTTCTATACGTTTCTAAATCTTTGTGGAAAAAATACACAAACAAAAAATTGAAATGAAAAATAACAACGTTGGACACTGCTAAATGTGTGTTTTAGATATTAAATGAATTATCATACCAATGTACATACAATATCCTTTGGCAAAGCTTAGATTTAAAAGTTTCTAGCAGAGAGGTGCACGGGTGGCTCAGTTGGTTGAGCATCCGACTTCAGCTCAGATCATGATCTCACTACTCGTGGGTTCTAGCGCTGCATCAGGCTCTGTGCTGACAGCTCAGAGCCCAGAGTCTGCTTCAGGTTCTGTGTCTCCCTCTCCCCCTTCCCCTCCCTCACTTGTGCGCTCTCTCTCTCTCTCTATCTCTCAAAAATAAGCAGTAACAATTTTTTTAAAGTTTCTATCAGAGTACCCAGAGTTCATATTTTCCATGAAAAAAAATCAATATCAAATGTAAACAAAATTTAAAATTTAAATTGTAAATGCCTAAAATATATCTAACATATGAAATCTATCTAACTATATATACAGATTATAGGGTACAACAGTCCTAGGCAATCTTTATAATATTAAACATACTAAAAAGGATGTTAAATAGGCTGTTGCATGTATTTAGAGCTCTCCTGACTAGGCCATATGCTCTGCCTGGAGAATGGCTTTATCTTACTCATCTCACATTCTCAAGGTTTCAACTTGTCTATCAAATGAATGAACTCAAAGAAGTAGGACAGAATAATATTTTATGATAAGTACAAGTATTCTGCACTATTACACATCTGGTTGTTTTAGGGGATTTTTGATGTTTTACTCCAAGGACCTATACTCATTGAGTCAGAGACATTCCTTTCAGAGACTGCATCAAGACAAATGTAAAGATATAAATTGAGTTTCTGAATGAATTTGTAAAAACTTAGTATATAAGACAACAATTTGGAAGCCAAATTAATTTCACATTTCAAGACCCAATTTTCTAAGAGATAACATTTTTTTTAATTCTAAAAGCTTACCTGAAGATCCTAGTTAATAAAAGTAGGCCATATACATAGATTAGAAAGAACCATTACTCTACAAGCCACACAGGAAGTAGGATAATCAGTCTCAAGGAACTGCACAGCTTCTGCCAAGTTGGCACAAACCATTCCTGTGACATAATCAAGCTATCATTTACTGTACTTCCTCTGCACCTACGAGTTGCATTAGCAGTCTACATCATTACTTGGTAAAGGCATCCTGTCTTTCCCTGAGCAACAGATATTCAAGATCCAAGGTCAATAAAATATTGCCCATGGGTCAAATATAACACATTGTCTGATTTGATAAATAAAATTCTTATTGGAACATAGCTGTACCCACACATTAACATCTTTTCCATAGCTAATTTTGTGCTGCAACCGCAGAGTCACTTTGTATGGACTGCAAAGCCTAAAATATTTCTGACTATCTTGAAAAAATTTGACAACCACTGTTCCAGAGAATAAATTTGAATTGTAGATGTGGAGTTTCCCAGACCAGTCAATCTAGGCTCCATTTGAATGGCACGAATTTCTTTATGAAATAAGTGTGACAAGATAGAACTCTGCACATTCAAACATAAGTAATTACTAAGAAGGAAAGGGGTTTTATATAGAACCAGGGAGATGGAGTGGTAGTAGTTGAGAGGGGAAGAAACATAAGCAAAAGACAAAGGTAGAAAATATATATCAGGAAACAGAGTGCTCTAGAGTTTCAAGTAGATTACTTATTTTAAAAAAACTCAGAGGTTCAGTAAAATAAAGATTAAAAAGTCCCCCTTTAAAAAAATCAAATAAAAGATATAAAAGATGAATGGGAAGAAAAAAGTTAGGTGGATGAACACTAAATACAGAAATTGGAATATTCATTGTAAGAATAAAAGGCATATTAGAAACAAATAAAGGCTGCTACAGGTACATCCATAGGCATGGAGAATAGACTTAAGGAAACTCCTCAAAATGAATTAAGAGTCAAATATTTTAAAGTAATTCTGAGAAAAGGCTAACAGAAACAGAAGTCAGATAAAGGTGATACTACAAACTTAAAATTGGTGTACCCAGGCAAGAAAATAGAATTAATATAACATAAAACACTAAAATATTAATTAACAGAAGTTTTTCTCATACTCATACTTTCAAATAATAATAATACAGAAGGTTCAACACTAAAAAATACTGGCATAAAAATTCCTAGGGATTTCAAACAGTAGAAAAGGGGAAAAAATACTTCCCAGGATATTTAATGACCTCTAAAACAAAACTAAACTAAATTAAGAGGAAAAAGTACTCAATATCCAATTTTTGTACTCAATTATTTTGTATTTCAATTATAAAGGTCACAGGCAAATATTCTTATCCATAAGAGATCTGATGATCCCTACTGGGGAAGGAGGGGAACAGGTTACAGATCATGCACTTTGGCCAACCAAGAGGGAAAACAAAGTGAAGTCCTCACTAACAGAGAAGCCATGTTAAAGTATAGAAGTGAGCATAATTTAAACAAGCAACAAAGTTTAAAATCTATATGAAGTATGTTTAGGGAAAAACATAAATTCAAATTAAAAAATAACACAATTGGGAATTAAATGGGAGAAGACAGAAAGAGATAAAAGTATGAGAATGTTCTCATCTTTCATATCAGGAAGCAACTTAGGATGCCTTCTAAATATAAAATCCATAGCTGAAAAAAGGATAACGCCCCAACCTCTTCACATTTTCATATAACCCTCCTTATCTACTTTTAATGGGATCTTGCAGAAATTAATATTTCTTGCTATGAAGAGACATATATTGATGCCAGACAGTTGTATCTAGTTTCTAGAAAT